TGACGACAAACAACCAAACAAAACTACAGCAACACAAACACACACTCTCAGAGGAGGAAGACAGAAGAATATGAGACTTTTTAAATACTGTAAAATAATCAAACTGTGAGTTTAGAACCTCTGTGCGATGGTTTTGTCACACATGGTTCTAAACCAACAACAGTATTTATTTATAGTCTGCTACTTCCAGGAGAGAGACTCAGAGACTTCCTGACAGCACCTTTGACTGTAACCGGACCCTCTCCAGGCCCCGCCCCTCTCCAGGTCCTGCCCCTCTCCAGGCCCCGCCCCTCTCCAGGCCCCGCCCCTTTCCAGGTCCCGCCCCTCTCCAGGTCCCGTCCCTCTCCAGGCTCCGCCCCTGTCCGGGTCCCGCCCCTGTCCGGGTCCCGCCCCTGTCCCGGGTCCCGCCCCTGTCCAGGTCCTGCCCCTCTCCAGGTCCCGCCCCTTTCCAGGTCCCGCCCCTCTCCAGGTCCCGTCCCTCTCCAGGCTCCGCCCCTGTCCGGGTCCCGCCCCTGTCCGGGTCCCGCCCCTGTCCAGGTCCTGCCCCTCTCCAGGTCCCGCCCCTTTCGAGGTCCCGTCCCTCTCCAGGTCCCGTCCCTCTCCAGGCTCCGCCCCTGTCCGGGTCCCGCCCCTGTCCGGGTCCCGCCCCTGTCCAGGTCCAACGCCCCTCTCGAGGTCCCGCCCCTTTCCAGGTCCCGCCCCTCTCCAGGTCCCGTCCCTCTCCAAGTCCCGTCCCTCTCCAGGCTGCGCCCCTGTCCGGGTCCCGCCCCTGTCCAGGTCCCGCCCCTCTCCAGGTCCCGCCCCTTTCCAGGTCCAAGGTCACCCTCTCACTCTTACCCTCTATCCCTCCTACTCACCCTCTCACTCTTACCCTCTATCCCTCCTCCTCACCCCCTCTTACCCTCTATCCCTCCTACTCACCCTCTCACTCTTACCCTCTATCCCTCCTACTCACCCTCTCACTCTTACCCTCTATCCCTCCTACTCACCCTCTCACTCTTACCCTCTATCCCTCCTACTCACCCTCTCACTCTTACCCTCTATCCGTCCTCACCCTCTCACTCTTACCCTCTATCCCTCCTCCTCACCCTCTCTTACCCTCTATCCCTCCTCCTCACCTTCTCACTCTTACCCTCTATCCCTCCTCCTCACCCTCTCACTCTTACCCTCTATCCCTCCTCCTCACCCTCTCACTCTTACCCTCTATCCCTCCTCCTCACCTTCTCACTCTTACCCTCTATCCGTCCTCCTCACCCTCTCACTCTTACCCTCTATCCGTCCTCCTCACCCTCTCACTCTTACCCTCTATCCCTCCTCCTCACCCTCTCTTACCCTCTATCCGTCCTCACCCTCTCACTCTTACCCTCTATCCCTCCTCCTCACCCTCTCACTCTTACCCTCTATCCCTCCTCCTCACCCTCTCACTCTTACCCTCTATCCCTCCTCCTCACCCTCTCACTCTTACCCTCTATCCCTCCTCCTCACCTTCTCACTCTTACCCTCTATCCCTCCTACTCACCCTCTCACTCTTACCCTCTATCCCTCCTACTCACCCTCTCACTCTTACCCTCTATCCGTCCTCCTCACCCTCTCACTCTTACCCTCTATCCCTCCTACTCACCCTCTCACTCTTACCCTCTATCCATCCTCCTCACCCTCTCACTCTTACCCTCTATCCGTCCTCACCCTCTCACTCTTACCCTCTATCCCTCCTACTCACCCTCTCACTCTTACCCTCTATCCGTCCTACTCACCCTCTCACTCCTCTTCCCCCTCTCTACCCCTACTCACCCTCTCTCTCTTACCCTCTACTCCCTCTATCCCTCACCTCCTCTCTCTACCCTCTCCTCCCTCTATCCCTCCTCCTACTCACCCTCTCACTCTTACCCTCTATCCCTCCTCCTCACCCTCTCACTACCCTCTATCCCTCCTATCACCCTCTCACTTTACCCTCTATCCCTCCTACTCACCTCTCACTCTTACCCTCTATCCCTCCTCCTCACCCTCACTCTACCCTCTACCCTCTACTCCCTCTACCTCTACCTCTACCCTCTACTCTTACCCTCTATCCCTCCTCCTCACCCTCTCTCACTCTTTACCCTCTATCCCTCCTCCTCACCCTCTCACTCTTACCCTCTATCCCTCCTACTCACCCTCTCCTCTCACTCTTACCCTCTATCCCTCCTCTCCTCACCCTCTCACTCTTACCCTCTATCCCTCCTCCTCACCCTCTCACTCTTACCCTCTATCCCTCCTCCTCACCCTCTCACTCTTACCCTCTATCCCTCCTACTCACCCTCTCACTCTTACCCTCTATCCCTCCTACTCACCCTCTCACTCTTACCCTCTATCCCTCCTACTCACCCTCTCACTCTTACCCTCTATCCCTCCTACTCACCCTCTCACTCTTACCCTCTATCCCTCCTCCTCACCCTCTCACTCTTACCCTCTATCCCTCCTCCTCACCCTCTCTTACCCTCTATCCCTCCTCCTCACCCTCTCACTCTTACCCTCTATCCCTCCTCCTCACCCTCTCACTCTTACCCTCTATCCCTCCTCCTCACCTCTCACTCTTACCCTCTATCCCTCCTCCTCACCCTCTCACTCTTACCCTCTATCCCTCCTCCTCACCCTCTCACTCTTACCCTCTATCCCTCCTCCTCACCCTCTCACTCTTACCCTCTATCCCTCCTCCTCACCCTCTCACTCTTACCCTCTATCCCTCCTCCTCACCCTCTCACTCTTACCCTCTATCCCTCCTACTCACCCTCTCTCTTACCCTCTATCCCTCCTACTCACCCTCTCACTCTTACCCTCTATCCCTCCTACTCACCCTCTCACTCTTACCCTCTATCCCTCCTCCTCACCTTCTCACTCTTACCCTCTATCCCTCCTCCTCACCCTCTCACTCTTACCCTCTATCCCTCCTACTCACCCTCTCACTCTTACCCTCTATCCCTCCTACTCACCCTCTCACTCTTACCCTCTATCCCTCCTACTCACCCTCTCACTCTTACCCTCTATCCATCCTCCTCACCCTCTCACTCTTACCCTCTATCCCTCCTCCTCACCCTCTCTTACCCTCTATCCCTCCTCCTCACCCTCTCACTCTTACCCTCTATCCCTCCTCACCCTCTCACTCTTACCCTCTATCCCTCCTACTCACCCTCTCACTCTTACCCTCTATCCGTCCTCCTCACCCTCTCACTCTTACCCTCTATCCGTCCTCCTCACCCTCTCACTCTTACCCTCTATCCGTCCTCCTCACCCTCTCACTCTTACCCTCTATCCGTCCTCCTCACCCTCTCACTCTTACCCTCTATCCCTCCTACTCACCCTCTCACTCTTACCCTCTATCCCTCCTCCTCACCTTCTCACTCTTAGGTTCTCACCCTCTCCAATATGGTCTCTCTCGCTCTCTGGTCTCTCACGTCCTAATGATGTCATATTATAATAATAATGCATCAGTTTTATACAGCGCTTTTTTGGACACTCAAAGACGCTTTACATGTTATTATTCATTCACTCCATAAACTACTACTGTAGCCACAGCTGCCCTGGGGCACACTGACAGAAGCGAGGCAACCAGTCTGTGCCATCGGCCCCTCCGACCACCACCAACCATTCACACACACACCAGACTCATTCTAGGCAATGGGAGTGAAGTGTCTTGCCCAAGGACACAACGATAGACAGTGGGAGTCGCTGGTGGAAGTCATATGGTGGGCTTGAACCCACAACCTTCTGGTTCAAAGGCCAACTGAGCCACTTTTTACTGGAAACAAAGTTGTAATCCATCATTTCATTGAAAACTGGAGCTCATTGATTCAGCTTTTGTATGAATTCAGGCCATAAAAAGTGCTGCGTAGAGACTTAAAGAAGCTATACCCGATTTTTTTTCTAAGTAGTTCATAAAAATGCTTTTTACTACATACAAGTTGTATCATAATACATCATTTATTTGAAAACTTGAGGTCATTGATTCCACTGTGTATGAAATTCAGGCAGTGAAAAGTGCTGAGTAGAGTCTGAGCGGGACGTTCTCCTCCAATCACAGAACAAGAAGCGAACAGCCTGTGTCCTCTAGTCTCTACAGCCTGTGTCCTCTAGTCTCTACAGCCTGTGTCCTCTAGTCTCTACAGCCTGTGTCCTCTAGTCTCTACAGCCTGTGTCCTCTAGCCTCTACAGCCTGTGTCCTCTAGTCTCTACAGCCTGTGTCCTCTAGTCTCTACAGCCTGTGTCCTCTAGTCTCTACAGCCTGTGTCCTCTAGTCTCTACAGCCTGTGTCCTCTAGTCTCTACAGCCTGTGTCCTCTAGTCTCTACAGCCTGTGTCCTCTAGCCTCTACAGCCTGTGTCCTCTAGCCTCTACAGCCTGTGTCCTCTAGTCTCTACAGCCTGTGTCCTCTAGTCTCTACAGCCTGTGTCCTCTAGTCTCTACAGCCTGTGTCCTCTAGTCTCTACAGCCTGTGTCCTCTAGTCTCTACAGCCTGTGTCCTCTAGTCTCTACAGCCTGTGTCCTCTAGTCTCTACAGCCTGTGTCCTCTAGTCTCTACAGCCTGTGTCCTCTAGCCTCTACAGCCTGTGTCCTCTAGCCTCTACAGCCTGTGTCCTCTAGCCTCTACAGCCTGTGTCCTCTAGTCTCTACAGCCTGTGTCCTCTAGTCTCTACAGCCTGTGTCCTCTAGTCTCTACAGCCTGTGTCCTCTAGTCTCTACAGCCTGTGTCCTCTAGTCTCTACAGCCTGTGTCCTCTAGTCTCTACAGCCTGTGTCTTCTAGTCTCTACAGCCTGTGTCCTCTAGTCTCTACAGCCTGTGTCCTCTAGTCTCTACAGCCTGTGTCCTCTAGTCTCTACAGCCTGTGTCCTCTAGTCTCTACAGCCTGTGTCCTCTAGTCTCTACAGCCTGTGTCCTCTAGCCTCTATAGCCTGTGTCCTCTAGTCTCTACAGCCTGTGTCCTCTAGTCTCTACAGCCTGTGTCCTCTAGTCTCTACAGCCTGTGTCCTCTAGTCTCTACAGCCTGTGTCCTCTAGTCTCTACAGCCTGTGTCCTCTAGCCTCTACAGCCTGTGTCCTCTAGTCTCTACAGCCTGTGTCCTCTAGTCTCTACAGCCTGTGTCCTCTAGTCTCTACAGCCTGTGTCCTCTAGTCTCTACAGCCTGCGTCCTCTAGTCTCTACAGCCTGCGTCCTCTAGTCTCTACAGCCTGTGTCCTCTAGTCTCTACAGCCTGTGTCCTCTAGTCTCTACAGCGCTGCTTAACACCAGGGCTTCGACTTCAAAATTCGAATATAATTCTAAAATAAAAAATATATACATATTTGAACAAATATTAGACAACCCTTATAATTAGAAATGTATTTAATGACTGCAAATAAAATAGTTAGCTCCCAAAGGTTTCACCGGGACGTGCTAGGCAGGTAACAGCTAAGCTAGCTAGCTGTTTCATGGTAACTTCCGGTTTTTTCGCGATCGCTTTTTGTCAGGTTAAAACAGTATTTTTGTCATGAAAACGTTGACAGCAAATTCTGGAATCGTCCGTGCATGTGTGTTAAGGATGTATATGTGTACTGTATTGTCCGATTAACGTTTAATGGTGTTGATTGATATGTATTTGTTTATTGAGCGTGGCTAGCTCCGCTAGCTTCTCTACACAGACAAGTGTGCAGAAAAACTGCACAGTGCAGTGACAGGCGCTGATAGCTTGTACTTGCAAAGTAATGGCAGTATTTTACACTCCTGAATTACAAACAGAGATTGCATTGGGGCTGCGGTCATTATTGGTTTGAGAGTTCTGTTATCAAGAAAAAATTATCGGAAGAATTGCATTCAAGTCAATGGAGTGCTGCTGCTGCTTTGAGGAGCTCTATAATAAATTATTATTAAATATTAGAATATATTCTAATGTTTAAATTAATACATCCGGACGCGAAACTAGCGGTATTCTTTTACTTATATATTGTGTTAGCAGTGCGTTGCTTTAGTACCATTTCATCAGTGATTGTTGCACAGCTTACAAGTTGTGCTAATGCTAGCATATGTATCAGATCGCAAATAAAACTAGGTGGCTCTGTGTTATGAGAGCGTAGGGGAAATGAGAAGCCTGTGAGCGAGTTGGGGGGCGGTGCTAAACATTCAAACATTGCAGAAACGGGTGTAGCGCCTTTAAGCCTAGTGCATACTCGCGCGGCGCTTACGGTGGTGACATCACTTGTGCAACGCGTGGATCACCGCAAGGCCCTTACGTCGCCTGCCGCGCACCCTCGCACTCTCGAAAATGTCTAACTACGTAAGGGTCGCCGCAAGGGTGCTCGGCTGTGATTGGTCCGTGTGTGAATACTTTCAGTGAAGCACGGAGCGGCTGCAGGAGCATGGACGAGGCATTTCGGAGCAGAGAGCTTCGCGCTTCGAAGGAACCGAAGGAAAAGCAGTTTGGGCTCAGAGCCTGATATACAGGAGACTGTGGACTGTTTAGTTCTGTTGCATATCTAACTTATATATAAATTATAAACTGTACAGTCGTTTGATTTGCACTGTTCCTGGCTTTGTTTGAATCTACTCGTAGCTTATCGCGTCTGTTCCATTCCTCCTGCACTTTTAAATTGTTAATGTTTGTCTCAGATATTTACCACTTATTGTTTTGCTGTTTGTGCTGAAAAAAATTGAATACTAACTATGTTTCCATCGAGAACTGTGTCTTTGTTCACAACATCACAATTAAATGAGTTGAAAGGATGAGTTTAGAACTTTCACATAAACCTACAGTAAAAACACATGTAATCTCAAACAGCTTTGCTATTGTTTTTGTTCTGAAGAGGAGAAAGTAGCAGCACAAATGGGACCGCTTTGGTTTGGCAACTCCTGTGAGTTCGCCATCACGTGGTTGGTTGTGGGATTACAACATTCAGGGAATGCACAAGTGTACCACAAACTGTGGTTACGTAGGTCCAACGTAACCGCAACTGTAAGCAGCGCCGTGCGAGTGTACAGAGGCCTTTAGCGTGACGCTCGCTCTCCTCCACTCACAGAACAAGGAGCGGCGCTGTTATGAACAGGCTGCTTCACTAGGCCACGCCTCCTCTAGGCCGCGCCTCCTCTAGGCCACGCCTCCTCTAGCCTCTACAGCGCAGGTAAACACAGTAGCATGTTAGCATAATTGGCTATAACTCCTCTGCAGTGTAAGAGGAGAGTAGGAGGAGAGTAGAAGGAAAGTGTAGGAGAGAGTAGGAGGAGAGTGTAGGGGAGAGTAGGAGAGAGTAGGAGGAGAGCGTAGGGGAGAGTAGGAGAGAGTAGGAGGAGAGCGTAGGGGAGAGGAGGAGGAGAGCGTAGAAGAGAGTAGGAGAGTAAGAGGAAAGCGTAGGGGAGAGTAGAAGGAGAGTGTAGGGGAGTGTAGGAAGAGAGTGTAGGGGAGAGTAGGAGGAGAGCGTAGGAGAGTGTAGGAAGAGAGTGTAGGGGAGAGTAGGAGGAGAGCGTAGGGGAGAGTAGGAAGAGAGTGTAGGGGAGAGTAGGAGGAGAGCGTAGGGGAGCGTAGGATTATAGCGTAGGGGAGAGTAGGAGGAGAGCGTAGGAGAGTGTAGGAAGAGAGTGTAGGGAGAGTAGGAGGAGAGCGTAGGGGAGCGTAGGAGAAAAGCGTAGGGGGAGAGCAGGAGGAGAGTGTAGGAGAGAAGTGTAGGGGAGAGTAGGAGGGAAGTGTAGGAGGAGAGCAGAAGGAGAGTGTAGGAGAGAAGTGTAGGGGAGAGTAGGAGGAGAGTGTAGGAGGAGAGCGTAGGAAAGAGAAGGAGCAGGGCGTAGGGGAGAGTAGGAGGAGAGTGTAGGGGAGAGGAGGAGGAGAGCGTAGGAGGAGAGTAGGAGAGTGTAGAAGGAGAGTAAGAGGAAAGCGTAGGGGAGAGTAGGAGGAGAGTGTAGGGGAGAGCAGAAGGAGAGTGTAGAGGGAGAGCGCAGAAGAGAGTAGGAGGAGAGCGTAGGAGAAAGTAGGAGGAGAGCGTAGGGGAGAGTAGGAGGAGATTGTAGGGGAGAGCAGAAGGAGAGTGTAGAGGGAGAGCGCAGAAGAGAGTAGGAGGAGAGCGTAGGAGAAAGTAGGAGGAGAGCGTAGGAGAAAGTAGGAGGAGAGCGTAGGAGAAAGTAGGAGGAGAGCGTAGGAGAAAGTAGGAGGAGAGCGTAGGGGAGAATAGGAGGAGAGCGTAGGAGAAAGTAGGAGGAGAGCGTAGGGGAAAGTAGGAGGAGAGCGTAGGGGAAAGTAGGAGGAGAGCGTAGGAGAAAGTAGGAGGAGAGCGTAGGGGAGAATAGGAGGAGAGCGTAGGAGAAAGTAGGAGGAGAGCGTAGGGGAGAGTAGGAGGAGAGTGTAGGGGGAGAGCAGGAGGAGATTGTAGGGGAGAGAGGAGGAGAGTGTAGGGGAGAGTAGGAGGAGATTGTAGGGGGAGAGTAGAAGGGGAGTGTAGGAGGAGAGCATAGGGGAGAGTAGGAGGAGAGAGTAGAAGGAGAGCGTAGGGGAGAGTAGGAGGAGAGTGTAGGAGAGAGTAGGAGGAGAGTGTAGGGGGAGAGTAGGAGGAGAGAGTAGAAGGAGAGCGTAGGGGAGAGTAGGAGGAGAGTGTAGGGGAGAGTAGGAGGGGAGCGTAGGGGAGAGCGTAGAAGAGAGTAGAAGGAGAGTAAGAGGAAAACGTAGGGGAGAGTAGGAGGAGATTGTAGGGGAGAGTACGAGGAGAGCGTAGGGGAGAGTAGGAGGAGAGCGTAGGGGAGAGGAGGAGAGCGTAGAAGAGAGTAGGAGTAGGAGAGTGTAGAAGGAGAGTAAGAGGAAAGCGTAGGGGAAAGTAGGAGGAGAGTGTAGGGGAGAGTAGGAGGAGAGTGTAGGGGAGAGTAGGAGGATAGTGTAGGGGAGAGTAGGAGGTGAGTGTAGGAGAGGAGGAGAGCGTAGAAGAGAGTAGGAGTAGGAGAGTGTAGAAGGAGAGTAAGAGGAGAGTGTAGGGGAGAGTAGGAGGGGAGTGTAGGAGAGAGTAGGAGGAGAGCGTAGGAGAGATTAGGAGGAGAGTGTAGGGGAGAGTAGGAGGAGAGTGTAGGGGAGAGTAGGAGGAGAGTGTAGGGGAGAGTAGGAGGAGAGTGTAGGGGAGAGTAGGAGGAGAGTGTAGGAGAGAGAGTAGGAGGAGAGCGTAGGAGAGATTAGGAGGTGAGTGTAGGGGAGAGTAGGAGGAGAGTGTAGGGGAGAGTAGGAGGAGAGTGTAGGGGAGAGTAGGAGGAGAGTGTAGGGGAGAGTAGGAGGAGAGTGTAGGGGAGAGTAGGAGGAGAGTGTAGGGGAGAGTAGGAGGAGAGTGTAGGAGAGAGTAGGAGGAGAGTGTAGGGGAGAGTAGGAGGTGAGTGTAGGGGAGAGTAGGAGGAGAGTGTAGGGAGAGAGGAGTAGGAGGAGAGTGTAGGAGGAGAGTAGGGAGAGAGAGGTGTAGGGGAGAGTAGGAGGAGAGTGTAGGGGAGAGTAGGAGGAGAGTGTAGGAGAGAGTAGGAGGAGGGAGAGTGTAGGGGAGAGTGAGTAGGAGGTGAGTGTAGGGGAGAGTAGGAGGAGAGTGTAGGGGAGAGTAGGAGGTGAGTGTAGGAGAGAGTAGGAGGAGAGTGTAGGGGAGAGTAGGAGGTGAGTGTAGGGGAGAGTAGGAGGAGAGTGTAGGAGAGAGTAGGAGGAGAGTGTAGGGGAGAGTAGGAGGAGAGTGTAGGGGAGAGTAGGAGGAGAGCGTAGGGAGAGGAGAGTTAGGAGGTGAGTGTAGGGGAGAGTAGGAGGAGAGTGTAGGGGAGAGTAGGAGGAGAGTGTAGGGGAGAGTAGGAGGAGAGTGTAGGGGAGAGTAGGAGGAGAGTGTAGGGGAGAGTAGGAGGAGAGTGTAGGGGAGAGGAGGAGAGCGTAGAAGAAAGTAGGAGTAGGAGAGTGTAGAAGGAGAGTAAGAGGAAAGCGTAGGGGAGAGTAGGAGGAGAGTGTAGGGGAGAGTAGGAGGAGAGTGTAGGGGAGAGTAGGAGGGGAGTGTAGGGGAGAGTAGGAGGGGAGTGTAGGAGAGTAGGAGGAGAGCGTAGGGGAGAGTAGGAGGAGAGCGTAGGGGAGAGTAGGAGGAGAGTAGGAGGAGAGCGTAGGAGAGATTAGGAGGTGAGTGTAGGGGAAATGAGGAGCCTGTGAGCGAGTTGTGGGGCGGCGCTAAATATCCAAACTGAAATAAACCTGCATAAACGGGTAAAGCTCCTTTAATGATGTCACACGCCCTAATGACATCATCTAACACTATAAAAGGAAAGTTAAGACTGTAAAGAAGGAAGGATGAAATAGAACAGAATCCCACCTTTAGTCCTGAGCTCGTCTTCGCTCCTTGTGGTCAAACAATAACCAGCTGTGCCTTCTTTTACTGTTTTATACCCGAGACCCTCCCCCCACCCCTCCACACTTTCCCCTGTCCCGTATCGGGGCATCAGGAAGCCCCTAATCCTCGGCACATGCTGAGGTGCCCCTTACACGGAGAGTGTAAGGGGCACCTCAGAGTGTAGGAGAGAGTAGGAGGAGAGTGTAGGGGAGAGTAGGAGGAGATTGTAGGGGGAGAGTAGAAGGGGAGTGTAGGAGGAGAGCATAGGGGAGAGTAGGAGGAGAGAGTAGAAGGAGAGCGTGGGGAGAGTAGGAGGAGAGTGTAGGAGAGAGTAGGAGGAGAGTGTAGGGGGAGAGTAGGAGGAGAGAGTAGAAGGAGAGCGTAGGGGAGAGTAGGAGGAGAGTGTAGGGGAGAGTAGGAGGGGAGCGTAGGGGAGAGCGTAGAAGAGAGTAGAAGGAGAGTAAGAGGAAAACGTAGGGGAGAGTAGGAGGAGATTGTAGGGGAGAGTACGAGGAGAGCGTAGGGGAGAGTAGGAGGAGAGCGTAGGGGAGAGGAGGAGAGCGTAGAAGAGAGTAGGAGTAGGAGAGTGTAGAAGGAGAGTAAGAGGAAAGCGTAGGGGAAAGTAGGAGGAGAGTGTAGGGGAGAGTAGGAGGAGAGTGTAGGGGAGAGTAGGAGGAGAGTGTAGGGGAGAGTAGGAGGTGAGTGTAGGAGAGGAGGAGAGCGTAGAAGAGAGTAGGAGTAGGAGAGTGTAGAAGGAGAGTAAGAGGAAAGCGTAGGGGAGAGTAGGAGGAGAGTGTAGGGGAGAGTAGGAGGGGAGTGTAGGAGAGAGTAGGAGGAGAGCGTAGGAGAGATTAGGAGGAGAGTGTAGGGGAGAGTAGGAGGAGAGTGTAGGGGAGAGTAGGAGGAGAGTGTAGGGGAGAGTAGGAGGAGAGTGTAGGGGAGAGTAGGAGGAGAGTGTAGGAGAGAGTAGGAGGAGAGCGTAGGAGAGATTAGGAGGTGAGTGTAGGGGAGAGTAGGAGGAGAGTGTAGGGGAGAGTAGGAGGAGAGTGTAGGGGAGAGTAGGAGGAGAGTGTAGGGGAGAGTAGGAGGAGAGTGTAGGGGAGAGTAGGAGGAGAGTGTAGGAGAGAGTAGGAGGAGAGTGTAGGGGAGAGTAGGAGGTGAGTGTAGGGGAGAGTAGGAGGAGAGTGTAGGAGAGAGTAGGAGGAGAGTGTAGGGGAGAGTAGGAGGAGAGTGTAGGGGAGAGTAGGAGGAGAGCGTAGGAGAGATTAGGAGGTGAGTGTAGGGGAGAGTAGGAGGAGAGTGTAGGGGAGAGTAGGAGGAGAGTGTAGGGGAGTAGTAGGAGGTGAGTGTAGGGGAGAGGAGGAGAGCGTAGAAGAGAGTAGGAGTAGGAGAGTGTAGAAGGAGAGTAAGAGGAAAGCGTAGGGGAGAGTAGGAGGAGAGAGTAGGGGAGAGTAGGAGGAGAGTGTAGGAGAGAGTAGGAGGAGAGCGTAGGAGAGATTAGGAGGTGAGTGTAGGGGAGAGTAGGAGGAGAGTGTAGGGGAGAGTAGGAGGAGAGTGTAGGGGAGAGTAGGAGGAGAGTGTAGGGGAGAGTAGGGGAGAGTAGGAGGAGAGTGTAGGGGAGAGTAGGAGGTGAGTGTAGGGGAGAGGAGGAGAGCGTAGAAGAGAGTAGGAGTAGGAGAGTGTAGAAGGAGAGTAAGAGGAAAGCGTAGGGGAGAGTAGGAGGAGAGTGTAGGGGAGAGTAGGAGGAGAGTGTAGGGGAGAGTAGGAGGGGAGTGTAGGAGAGTAGGAGGAGAGCGTAGGGGAGAGTAGGAGGAGAGCGTAGGGGAGAGTAGGAGGAGAGTAGGAGGAGAGCGTAGGAGAGATTAGGAGGTGAGTGTAGGGGAAATGAGGAGCCTGTGAGCGAGTTGTGGGGCGGCGCTAAATATCCAAACTGAAATAAACCTGCATAAACGGGTAAAGCTCCTTTAATGATGTCACACGCCCTAATGACATCATCTAACACTATAAAAGGAAAGTTAAGACTGTAAAGAAGGAAGGATGAAATAGAACAGAATCCCACCTTTAGTCCTGAGCTCGTCTTCGCTCCTTGTGGTCAAACAATAACCAGCTGTGCCTTCTTTTACTGTTTTATACCCGAGACCCTCCCCCCACCCCTCCACACTTTCCCCTGTCCCGTATCGGGGGCATCAGGAAGCCCCTAATCCTCGGCACATGCTGAGGTGCCCCTTACACGGAGCAGGATAACATCTGTTTCTACACGTTTGGACCATAGGGAAGTAGGTCATGCACCAGGACCAGGGTCTGAGACTAGGACCAGGGTCTGAGACCAGGACTAGGGTCTGAGACCAGGACTAGGGTTAGAAGTCTGTGAGAGGATTGGCGTCTGAAGAGGCCTACAGAGGTCATCTGTCTGTGTGCAGTTTGCATGTTCTCCCTGTGTCTGTGTTTGCATGTTCTCCCTGTGTCTGTGTTTGCATGTTCTCCCTGTGTCTGTTTGCATGTTTTCCCTGTGTCCGGGGTGAGGGGGTTCTGCAGTGTTCCAGTTTCTCGCACTGTCTCTCACTTTAACATTCTACAACGTGTGACATTTATCACATGTGTGACATTTATCACATGTGTGACATTTATCAACATGTGTGACATTTATCACCATGTGTGACATTTATCGACATGTGTGACATTTATCGACATGTGTGACATTTATCAACATGTATGACATTTAACATGTGTGACATTTATCACATGTGTGACATTTATCAACATGTATGACATTTATCAACATGTGTGACATTTATCAACATGTGTGACATTTATCAACATGTATGACATTTATCAACATGTATGACATTTATCAACATGTGTGACATTTATCAACATGTATGACATTTATCAACATGTGTGACATTTATCAACATGTATGACATTTATCAACATGTGTGACATTTATCAACATGTATGACATTTATCAACATGTGTGACATTTATCAACATGTGTGACATTTATCACATGTATGACATTTATCACATGTGTGACATTTATCAACATGTATGACATTTATCACCATGTATGACATTTATCACATGTATGACATTTATCAACATGTGTGACATTTATCAACATGTGTGACATTTATCACATGTATGACATTTATCACATGTGTGACATTTATCAACATGTATGACATTTATCACATGTATGACATTTATCAACATGTGTGACATTTATCAACATGTGTGACATTTATCAACATGTGTGACATTTATCAACATGTGTGACATTTATCAACATGTGTGACATTTATCACATGTGTGACATTTATCAACATGTATGACATTTATCAACATGTGTGACATTTATCAACATGTGTGACATTTATCAACATGTGTGACATTTATCACATGTATGACATTTATCAACATGTATGACATTTATCAACATGTGTGACATTTATCAACATGTGTGACATTTATCAACATGTGTGACATTTATCAACATGTGTGACATTTATCACATGTGTGACATTTATCAACATGTGTGACATTTATCAACATGTGTGACATTTATCAACATGTGTGACATTTATCAACATGTGTGACATTTATCAACATGTGTGACATTTATCAACATGTGTGACATTTATCACATGTATGACATTTATCACATGTGTGACATTTATCAACATGTGTGACATTTATCAACATGTATGACATTTATCAACATGTGTGACATTTATCAACATGTGTGACATTTATCACATGTATGACATTTATCACATGTGTGACATTTATCAACATGTATGACATTTATCACATGTATGACATTTATCACATGTATGACATTTATCAACATGTGTGACATTTATCAACATGTGTGACATTTATCATCACATGTATGACATTTATCACATGTATGACATTTATCAACATGTATGACATTTATCAACATGTATGACATTTATCACATGTATGACATTTATCAACATGTGTGACATTTATCAACATGTGTGACATTTATCACATGTATGACATTTATCAACATGTATGACATTTATCACATGTATGACATTTATCACATGTATGACATTTATCAACATGTGTGACATTTATCACGTGTATGACATTTATCAACATGTGTGACATTTATCAACATGTGTGACATTTATCAACATGTATGACATTTATCAACATGTGTGACATTTATCACATGTATGACATTTATCAACATGTGTGACATTTATCAACATGTATGACATTTATCAACATGTATGACATTTATCAACATGTATGACATTTATCAACATGTATGACATTTATCAACATGTGTGACATTTATCACATGTATGACATTTATCAACATGTATGACATTTATCAACATGTGTGACATTTATCAACATGTATGACATTTATCAACATGTGTGACATTTATCAACATGTATGACATTTATCAACATGTATGACATTTATCACATGTATGACATTTATCAACATGTGTGACATTTATCAACATGTGTGACATTTATCAACATGTATGACATTTATCACATGTATGACATTTATCACATGTATGACATTTATCACATGTATGACATTTATCAACATGTGTGACATTTATCAACATGTATGACATTTATCAACATGTGTGACATTTATCACATGTATGACATTTATCAACATGTATGACATTTATCACATGTATGACATTTATCAACATGTATGACATTTATCACATGTATGACATTTATCACATGTATGACATTTATCAACATGTATGACATTTATCAACATGTGTGACATTTATCACATGTATGACATTTATCAACATGTATGACATTTATCACATGTATGACATTTATCACATGTATGACATTTATCACATGTGTGACATTTATCAACATGTGTGACATTTATCACATGTATGACATTTATCAACATGTGTGACATTTATCACATGTATGACATTTATCAACATGTATGACATTTATCACATGTGTGACATTTATCAACATGTGTGACATTTATCAACATGTGTGACATTTATCAACATGTATGACATTTATCAACATGTATGACATTTATCACATGTATGACATTTATCAACATGTGTGACATTTATCAACATGTATGACATTTATCACATGTATGACATTTATCACATGTATGACATTTATCACATGTGTGACATTTATCAACATGTATGACATTTATCACATGTATGACATTTATCAACATGTGTGACATTTATCACATGTATGACATTTATCAACATGTGTGACATTTATCACATGTATGACATTTATCAACATGTGTGACATTTATCACATGTATGACATTTATCACATGTATGACATTTATCAACATGTATGACATTTATCACATGTATGACATTTATCACATGTGTGACATTTATCAACATGTATGACATTTATCAACATGTATGACATTTATCACATGTGTGACATTTATCACATGTATGACATTTATCACATGTATGACATTTATCACATGTATGACATTTATCACATGTATGACATTTATTAACATGTATGACATTTATCAACATGTGTGACATTTATCAACATGTATGACATTTATCAACAATGTATGACATTTATCAACATGTGTGACATTTATCACATGTATGACATTTATCAACATGTGTGACATTTATCACATGTATGACATTTATCAACATGTATGACATTTATCAACATGTGTGACATTTATCACATGTATGACATTTATCACATGTGTGAAATGTATCAACATTTGTGACATTTATCAACATGTATGACATTTATCAACATGTGTGACATTTATCAACATGTGTGACATTTATCAACATGTGTGACATTTATCAACATGTATGACATTTATCAACATGTGTGACCTTTATCACATGTATGACATTTATCAACATGTGTGACATTTATCACATGTATGACATTTATCAACATGTATGACATTTATCAACATGTGTGACATTTATCAACATGTGTGACATTTATCAACATGTATGACATTTATCAACATGTGTGACATTTATCACATGTATGACATTTATCAACATGTGTGACATTTATCACATGTATGACATTTATCAACATGTGTGACATTTATCACATGTATGACATTTATCAACATGTATGACATTTATCAACATGTATGACATTTATCAACATGTGTGACATTTATCAACATGTATGACATTTATCAACATGTATGACATTTATCAACATGTATGACATTTATCAACATGTATGACATTTATCACATGTATGACATTTATCACATGTATGACATTTATCAACATGTGTGACATTTATCAACATGTATGACATTTATCAACATGTGTGACATTTATCACATGTATGACATTTATCAACATGTGTGACATTTATCACATGTATGACATTTATCAACATGTGTGACATTTATCACATGTATGACATTTATCAACATGTATGACATTTATCAACATGTATGACATTTATCAACATGTGTGACATTTATCAACATGTATGACATTTATCAACATGTATGACATTTATCACATGTATGACATTTATCAACATGTATGATATTTATCACATGTATGACATTCATCACATGTATGACATTTATCAACATGTTTGACATTTATCACATGTATGACATTTATCAACATGTGTGACATTTATCACATGTATGACATTTATCAACATGTGTGACATTTATCAACATGTATGACATTTATCAACATGTATGACATTTATCAACATGTATGACATTTATCAACATGTGTGACATTTATCACATGTATGACATTTATCAACATGTATGACATTTATCACATGTATGACATTTATCACATGTATGACATTTATACACATGTGTGACATTTATCACATGTGTCACATTTATCACATGTATGACATTTATCACATGTATTACATTTATCACATGCATGACATTTATCACGTGTGACATTTATCAAATGTATGACATTTATCACATGCATGACATTTATCACAAGTGTAACATTTATCACATGTATGACATTTATCACATGTATGACATTTATCACATGTATGAAATTAATTACATGTATGACATTTATCAACATGTATGACATTTAACACATGTGTGACATTTATCAACATGTGTGACATTTATCAACATGTCTGACATTTATCACATGTGTGAAATG